TTTTCCGTATCAGGTATAATCCTTCCCACTCTTTTTTCGTTCAGATCTGGTTTAGTTTATGGTTCAGAATTGATCCTTGAAAATATGATTTTCTAAATGGGGAATACGATTCCCAGTTGAAGAGAGAGAAAAATTTTTGAAATTCGCCCTATTCCGCAATCTTTTGGGCGTCCATAGGATGGATCTCTCATCCCTTCATTGTCATCTTTAGGCCATTCCTTCTGTTTAGTGCAATATCCATCACTAAATTATGAATACTTTCTTATTACTTTGACCCATCCCCTTTCTGTGTCCATCGAATATATCATGTTAGCTGTTGTAAAAGCATGAGGTTAATTTTGAAAACTAGACCAGACTAGACAGTCAAACCGATTGACCTGGGAACTAGTTAGGCAATCGGTTCTATTTCACCCTAAAACTGATCCTAGGCCCAAACCCGCTGATTTAGTCAATGACCTATTGGTTTGGGCGGTTAAATTGTCGACCCAGAGAACAGTTTTAACCTTTTTATTTTGATTATTTATTTATTTTTTTTTCTAAGTCAGAACAGGTCATCCATTCGAACTGAGTGGTCGAATCATTCGACCCAGAAACTGATCCAAAAAACGGTTCGTATCTGATCCAGTTTTTAAAACCTTGTGTAAAAGTGAAAAATTTTAACCGAACCATCAAGGTAAAGGTCCTTCCTTTACATTTCATAATCCATAAATAGTTTAAATATGTAGAGATATATTCCCTTAAACTCTCCATTGTCCATACAAAGATTTCAACATGTTCTATGTATTGACAAAGGGGTACAGTTCGTATCTGAAATTACAACTTCCACCAACAACCCTTCCTCCTCGCTTACCGTCACAACAGCTAGGAAGTTCACTTATTGCATCATCCAGGCACCTCTTGCAACCAGCGCTAGGGAGGTCCCTAGTGCACTGAACCAGCCCATATAGTGTCACCGCTTCATCCAGCTGTTGCTCTCCGGTAGCAAATAGCATCGCACCTCGATAAGCTTGCTCAGCTAGGCGGCTTAGGAGTTCCTCTGTTTTCTGATTAAAAGAAGCTGGATCACTTACATTCTGTGTGTTCCACATGTAGAACCTGTATTTGTAGTCAATTTTGCCCGAGAAATCCAGATTTGAGTACTTCAAAAGACAGTTATCATACCATATAATGGCTTCTTTGTCATTGGGACAACGTTGGCGGATTTCACTGTTGGCTCCAATGACACAGCTCTTACAATCTTCGGTAGAGACGTCACCTCGACAAAGAGCTAGCCCGTTTACACGGTCTGGGGCCTCCCCAACTGAATCAAATCCAAAGCCTGTGGGAGGAACTTTAGAGGAGAGATAATCCGTCAACTGGTTCAAGTTCTTCTCATAAGTTCCGTTGGAAGTGTAGTTGGCTGAGCCAGAACAAAAATGAAAGAGAGGGTCAGCACTGGCGACGCAGTGGAGAAGAAGAGCCAATGTTAGAGAAGCCAATCGAAGGGAATGCATTGTGGGGTTTTCTTTCTTTCTTTCTTTATGTATCTAAAAGTAAAACTGCAAGATTTGTATATATGTTCATGCATCAACCACTCTCTTTAAATAGAAATGGGCTGGTTGGCTTCTTTGTCTTCGAATTCCCACATAAACAAGTTGGATGAGCAACCAACTAATAACAAAAGATTTTATTTTGTTTGTTTCAGATGGTCAAAGAAATCAACTCCCAGCATCCCGATCTTATGTGAAAAGTCAAAAAATCGGTGGATGTATATTTAATGACGATATATATGTCGAGTTATAGTATTGTGATGGTCTTCGACCTTTGGTGGTCAGTGGTATAGGGAGGAGTGTGGCTGTCAAATCAATTCCGATTAGATGTTCAAATATGAGCAGATGATATTTAGGTAAGGTGCACAAGTTTCAGCAAATGGGGCTGCAAATTGCAGTTGGAAAATAGTGTGATGCGAACAGACATGATAGCTCAAATTTTCATTAAATAAGCCTTTATTCTGGTCAAGATGGGGGTAGATTTTTTCCTTTATCAATAATCAGTTTTTTCAGCAACTACGAACTTAGTGTACGCTTGGTTTGCGGTTGAAATTGAATCGGAATTAAAAATCAGAATCAAAATCTATGGGTATCAAAATGGTCTATTCCCATAATCTGTTTGGTTCAGACATAAATGGGAATGGAAATTGGAATCAGTAGGAATGAGATTTCATTTTTAAGGGAAGAACAAGAATGGGAATCAAATTCCTATTCTATTCAATCAAGTAGTTAAAATTGGAATAATCCATTTTAATTCCAATTCTAGACCCCTATTCCTATTTACCAAATGGACCATAATATATATCTTATTTAATTTATCTAAAGTGTAAAGTGAAATTGGAACTCTTAATTAAAAACACTTAAAAAGAAGATTTTTTTTTTATTTTAAAAAAAGTTGATGACGAACGTAATGAATCAAAACACCAGATTTTTTTTTTTTTTAAATTGATGACGAATATAATATAACGAATATAAAGAAGATTTATTTTGAGTGGCAGCAAGGTAAGGCGCACAATTAGCACTTAGAATTAGGCAAGTACCCACAATAACACCAGCTTTTAGGAGTGCTTTGCGCACTTCACAAATTAATGAATGGCTGCACGAGTCCAACAATGGTGATATTTCATGCATGGGCCAGTAATGGTGTTGTGCTCAGCACGATTTTTTCTTGACTTTTCGTCACAGTATTCTAGATTTTTTTTTTTTCAAGTGGTAAATCACTGTTCTTATATACCTCTCTATAGAAGTCACCTGTGTAAGAGCCAATTATTGAATCTGTATGTGCGTCGAGGAAGCAATCTATACAAAGGCACAAACAAAAAAAATCAATCTATACAAAGGAGAAAGGAGCAAAAGCCCTATATAATCTTCCTTTGTGAAGTTGAAGAGATCCGGAGGAATATCATGAGGAGAGCCAAAAACATGTCTATTTCTATTCATGAATCCAAGATTAACTAAAGTTACGCATTTATTCCCTTCCCAAAGCCTGTAAGGCTGTGTTTGGAAACAATATAAATAAGTGTAAATGCAAATATATAGAAAGTAGAATGGTTCATATAAATTGCAAAGTTGGATTAGGTTTGTATTGACAAATTTATCTTTTGACGAAATAGACTTTTAGCTATAATGGATGTAAACATGAATTTCAATAAAGCACAAACTTTTTCTTTTTTCTTTTTATCAAAAGACCACTTAAATGCAAATTTATTTATTTTTATTGATGTACTTTTACATCTTATTATCAATGTAAATATGCATTGGTTTGTCATTTGTCAATGTATAAATGTAATATTGCCAAACACAAGCAAAAGTGATCCAGAGTGCAAGTTTACCCTGAACCAGGATTTACACTCCATTTGCATTGTTTCCAATGCAACCTAAGCAAATTTGATCCCCATAGAACTATATAAAATTTTAATTTGTCTTAAGGTTGTGTTTGGTTGCAGTGAGAACTTATTTGCACTAATACAAATGCATGGGAGTGCAAATGTAAAAAATGAAAATTTTACTTTATTCTACTTTATATCTAAATTTACTTCATTTATACTGCAATCTAACAAAATAAGTTAAAAATTAAAACAAAAATAATTCAGAATTTACACTCAAATCATTTACCCTGTCATGATTTTGTATTAATACAAATTTATTTGCATTGCAACCAAACACAGCGTAAGAGGTAAATAATGCTTTAGGGCGCCAGCAGTATATCGATCTATCAACCTTGATTATCACAATCCACTTCCATATCTTTTAAATCGTTTTCATAACAAAGTTTAAGCTAGCCCTTCATGGATAACCATATATACGTTCAGAAGGGAGGCGCAAACCATGTTCTATTGTTGTTTCTTTTGTAGGTCGACATCTGTTGCTTTCTTTATCATTAATTAATCTATGGTTTCTACTTTTCCAATGCGCCAGCAGTTGTCATATACTTCAAAATTGTCCACTAATGACAGTTGTCATATACTTCAAAACAGTTGTCATATACTTCACAAAAAAAAATCAAATCCAAATCAGCAACTGCACTCAAATTTAATTTGATACTATTTTATTAGGTTTAAAATAAAAATTAATTATTATTTATATATATATATATATATACGGATAGGTGAAATAATAGGGCGGGAATGTCCAGTTGGGTTGACATGCAGGAGTCCATTGGCAGCCCTGTTGCGAGCCACAATGACGTCGAGTTGTTGACAACTCGACATTGTGCACATGGGCCTTCTGTGTTTTGTTAGCAAAATATTAAATAAAAAATAGTGCACGTGGGCTGTGCCGGGGCCTCACTAACAGTAAGGATTGGGCTTGGGCTACACTCGTTATCTCACGGGCTGGACCAGGGCTAATCATTTTAGGGAAAATATTGTTCTTTTCCTTTGGGCTGTATTTGGGTGTCGGTTCGGTTTTGTATGTGTGCGTTTTAATTTTATAATAGTAGAAGTAAAATTATATTCGGATTTAGTTGTGTGCGTTTTAATGGAGTGTAGTTTTATGTCGATAATCGACATAAAACCTCATCAATTTTAAAGTTTTATATTGATAATTGATGTAAAAACTATATTCATTTTATCGATATATAACTTTATACTCTTCCACCTATCATTATTTTCCAAAAAGCAACGGTCTTTTTCCGATTCAGTGATACACTAATGACGTTTTACACTAATTCCAAAACCAGTCTTAGGCTCAGTTTTTAAAGACTACAAATACAAATATGTATAATGCAAATACATACAAAATAATACAAAACACAAGGTTTTGCACTCTATATATTTGTATTTATACTCCCTCCAAACTGGGCCTTAGGCCCAAAATTATTAATTAAGACCTCTTATGTATCTTATATCAAGTTATTAAGAATTATGTAATTATAAAGTACAATCTCCCGGTTCATACTGTTTAAACCAAGATCTATTTCCTTTTTTAAGTTATCCTTCTTGGATACCTGATGTAAAGAAATTTATTTTGTTATCAGTATTATAATTTGATCTGTTTAGTTATCAAAAGAAAGAAAAAAATAGAAAGTCAATAAAGCTCAGTTTGGAAGGGAGTATAAATACACATGTATAGAGTGCAAAACCTTGAATTTTGTATTATTTTATATATTTGTACTGTATATATTTGTATTTATACTCTATTCAAACTGAGTCTAAGGTGTCGTTTGATTGCATTTTTCAGATGTTTGAATCTGAAAATGTTATTTTTCAGACCTTACCCCTTGTTTGGTTTTACCTCTTAAAATTAGTCTGAATCTTATTTTCCGATCTGAAAATAATAGATCTTGGACCGGCTCTTAATGCGTGTAAACACGTTTCAATGCCAGTGCATAGTCCAAAATATCCTTACAATATTTTGAAAATGACAAATTACCCATGAAAACTCCAAACCTAAAAAAACCTAAACATTCGACCCCTCTTTCTGTCTCGCTCTCTCTCTCCCTTTCCCTCTCTCTCTGTTAGAGTACACCAAAAACAAACGACAGTAGTAATGGTTGAATTATCCATCAACAGGTGAACACATACACACACGAACTGAAACTGGTATAAGAAATGAATTCTTATGTACGGCATTTTAGAGAAAAAAGCATTAGTTACAGTAAAGACAAAACAAATGCACCAGGCAAGATGCAAAATAGCAGAAGAAATTCAGAAATGGATCTCTGATAATCAAATCGTACATGTCCAGGAATGAGGAGAGAGGCCTTTTCTCTCTCATGTATTTGAGCTTCCAATAAGGATATCTTCTCCATAAGCTCTGCATTCTTCTTCCGCTCCCTCTTTAACTCGGCCAAAATCTTTGCCATATTGACACCCTCTCTTTTCACTTCTAGTTCTTCATAGCTCAGTGGAACCGAAGGAACAGAAAATTCTAAAGAGCACCCTCGACTTCTAGCACATAATGCAGAAGCATTAACTAAGCTCACACAGGATTGAAGCTCCCCCGTTTGAGAATGCACATGCTCTGCTTCAGAATCTAGAACTCTAGAGAGAAACCCACATCGAACGAGTGGTCTTAATGCAGAAAAATGGAGCAACAATGCCCATTAACCAAAACCTCGATGAACAGGTTGAAAGTTTAGAGATTTAGGGAGGAGGTGCAAAGGTTCAACAAGAAGAAGGGAAAACCATAAACCCATAAAGCAAAACCTCCAAACGGGTTCCCGAATTCAAAGCTTAAGAAGAGACCAATAGCAGAAGATTAGTTCTCTTKGGGGCCGAAGTAGAGAAATTGGACGTTCATGATAGCATTGATAAGTTATAATTGAATAGAATGACCAAATGAAGGGAAAGAGAAGCAACCGTGCGCAGAACCTAGTAAAAAAAGGCTGAGCCAATGCATCCAAGCACTGCAAGGAAAGAGAGAACGAGCAGGCGCAAGATATACAGTGCCGAGTATGAGTGCTGGTCAAGTTGCAGAGAAATAACAGAGAAGTAAACAAGCAAAAAGAAAAAGGGAAAAAATGTCTTAGAGGAGAATGAGAGAGGGACTTTTCTGCAATGAATGGATGCTCTCTTGTTTCGGAGATAGAAAGAGAGGAGGAAGAGAACCAG